TGGAAATGCTGAAGAGAGTCTTACTGAGGATGCTAAGGAAGAAAATCAAGAAGAGAAACTGTTTGCATTTTGCCAATACAGTTCAATCCTGGTGACTAAAAGCAGTTCACAGCAAGACCCCATTCTGCAAAATGCCTGATGCTCTCATTGGAGGCAAAATCAGGTCATTAGAGCTGCACTCTGTTCCATTATGCACATGTCATAGCATAACTGTTGGGCCAGGCCTTTGTCTGCTGCTTAACTGCACAGAAAAGTTAGAAAATAAAAGGAAATAAGGGGAGAAACATAACACTTTCCTGAAAGATCATTTCAGAGTCCTCGTTTCCCAATTTCCAATTAATATCCATTTATCACAAATGATCAAATAAAGGTATTAACATTACTAGAGAAGGGGGAATCATCAACACATTCCAGTCATCTCACAAAAGTATCATAACTCTGTGATCCAGCTACATTCTCCTTTTGAACAGTTTTTATGTTATTCAGTTACATTATCACTCCTGGTTCTCCATGCAGAGGCAGAGCCAAGCAGCATTTGGTTGGAGATAGAAAAAGAAAGGCATGTCCTGGGATTCTAGTGGGCAGAATGTGCAGCTTAACTAAGTCAGCTTCAGAGTCTTTGTTTTCTCCATTTAATGACTGTAGATGTCCTCACCATATCCTGAATGGGGGCTTGAGGCAAGTAATTAAGATGAGGAAATGCAGGGTGGCTTACCTTTGAAATCCCAATAAACAGCAATGAGGAAAGAAGCAGCACTCAAACCAAAGAAAATACTCCTCACTGCTGAACACAGTCCAAAAGCTGCCATCTGCTTTGATCTCTTTTGATTGGGGTGTCTTTCTCATTCATGTGGCATTACCCCGTTCTGAAGTCTTCATACTATTTTGCCATTTTCACATTCTGAAATGAACATAATGTGGAGAGACTACTCTTATACCTGGACTAGATCCCTAGATCTAGATCCCATCCTGAGATCTCTGCTGACCCAATTCTAATCATAATAATAGAAGCGAAAAGCTGTAGAACCTATTATTAATTGCTACAGCAAGCTAGCCCACCCCCTCCCCTATGCAGGGGTTGGTAGGGCTAAGAATAAAGGATTTTGTTCTAAAGTAAGTTGTCTTAGTGTCAGCTTACAGGGAAACCCTGAACCAGGTTTTTAGTGAAAGAGTCCCTTGCCTCACATGAGATGTTAGCCTGATGCTTCTCTGGAGCTTCTAGAGGGGTAGGAAAGCCAGGTAGGTCTTGCTAGCTGGGCCTGGCACTGTATAGCAATTGTCCATTGTGTTGTGATGGATTTTTCTAGCTGCAGAAACCAGGATGAAGGGAAACATGATATTTTTCTGTTGTAGAAAAGCAACATTACAGGCTGTGTCTCAATAAGCATGAAATAGCTTTGTATATGGTGCCCCTTTATTCCCCCATGCTCAGTTCCTTCCCCTGGGCTGGGGGAAGGGGAGAGAATAGCTAATGAGTTCCAGAAGATCAGCTGTAAATGGCCAGGGAGGGTAATTCATATCAAACTCATAAAACCCTTTATTAGTGTCTCAGGAGGGGAGATCCGGATGTGGCCGTTTATTTATTTTGGATTTTGCTTTTTTCTCTTCTCCTTTTAACATTTTCTTCCAGGAGGCTCGCATTGATTTTTAAAGGGACAGGACTTCCTTTTATTATTTGTAGGCTTTTATCTCTCATCACAGGGCAGAGACTGCCTGTAACTGAGGTCCCTGTCCAGCCAGTCATCTCCATGTAGACCATATCACAGACCCATGTGTTCTGGGGTCTTCCTGAAGTTGGGAATTTGGAGGTTTGAGACACTGCCCTTTGTGCATTAGCTGTTTCCATACCATATGTTGCCCAGTTTCAGGGTGGTGTGCTGGAAAAGGTTGTGTCCTTCGACCCCTCCCATAATGCTATGGGTGCTCCTTTTAGGTCTAGATTGGGCTTCCCATTCTAACTCTCCTCTCTAGCTGTCCCTCACAAAATCAATGTGAGTCTCCTGGAACACATGTGAAAGGAATCCTCTTTGCCTCAGCAAACTCCTGGAAAGCCAATTTGCACCCAAAGCTCTAGGTCACCCTGTTGATCCCATCCTGCTTATCATGCCACAGAACAGCCACTTGCTTGGGCCTTGACTTTCCAGTGGGAATTGCCCCCAACAATCTGCCTCTTCCAGCTCCTTCCTTCCCTGCCCCAGCACCCTGAATCATTCTTTGTCCTATGAAATCTCCGCTTCTGTTCTCTTTCTTGACCTTACTTGCTGCCCCTTCTATCCTCTCCCTCCATACTGCTCACATCAATGGTGTGAACTGCCTTCACTTCTTTGTCCTCCATACCTCCACTCCACACCCTCTCCTCTTCCCAAGGTCACTCCTATTAACTCTCTGGGTGCAGCTCCAGGCCTCTTCTCCATCTCTGACCTTCTCCATCAACATGTGGCCTTTGATATGGCTGCTCCTTCCCTTCTCCTGAAGCATTGTCCTTCCTTGGTCTTGCCCCGCTGTATGACTGGTGGCTCTTTCTCCAGTTCTCTTGTGTGCCCCATCAGCTGCCATATTGTTGGAGATGGTCTGCCCCATGCCCCCTTATGCATCCACATAACCACATTGGTGATAAAAGACTATGCTGCCTGCACGCTGCAATGTGCTTCACCTCTTGTGAAGAACAAATTATTTGCTTTACCCTGGGTGCTGCTGTGAACTGGGGGCTGCGGGACTGCTCTAGGGACCTGGGTTCTAGTTCAGATGGAGCTTCCTGAGCTTGGAAAAACTGTTACTCACTTTTTCTCTGTGTTGCCTATTTAGCTTGATTGCTCTTTGTGGCAGAGGCTGCATCTTATTTGGTGTTGCACAGCATTCAACACAGTGGGATCCTGAACTTCCTGGCAGTTCTAGATATAGCTGTAATGCAGATGGACTAAGCAAGATGGTGCTCTGCAAAGTGCCCATCCATTTCCTTTCAGTAGTACCAGTTTTCCAAAAGTGCAGAGCCCTTTTGAAAATTAGCCTCTGGCCATGCCTTCAGAGACCATGACCACCTCAGCTTTCTATTCCAGTAGTACCTACTCAGCTGCATGGCTTATTCAAGGATAAATGTCAGTCCCTCCTGAGTATCTTGTCCTCCATTTAGGCAGAGCACAAGAAATTCAAGAGAGAAGATGATGCTGTGCGACTCAGTTCAGAGAAGGGGCAGCTGGACCAGTCTCTGAGCAGCCTGCAGCAAGAAGTGGAGGACACTCTGAGACAGAACCAGCAGTTGCAGGTCAGCCTGCTGGCTATGCCTGGTCTGTCCCTGGAGATGACAGCAGCTTGCAGTGATTTTTGGCTGGGATGGGGAGGTGCAAAGGGCAAGGGGGGCGGGGCATGCAGTAGATTTGCACAGCAAGTGTGCTTTTTTTCCAAGCACAGAATTGTCAGCATTGCACAGTCACACTACACAATCAATCTACAATCTGAAAGTCAAGGGAGCTCCTTCCAGCTCACTCCCCACACCAACCTCCAGGGACTTCTGGATAACTACCCTGCCTAAATGGGGCCCTTAATGACACCTGTAGAGCTCCATGGTACAGAGGCTAGAACTGACTGCATCTTGGGACAAACAGCTCTGCTGATGATGCGCAAGAAAACTAGAACCCTGCCACTTGCCCCTTGGTTGTGCGGCGCCAACTTACTGTCATCATCATTGTTTTTTTTGTCACATAGGCTCTTGAAGGCACATGCCCTGGTCAGGGCCCCATTAGCATGGGTGCTAGTCACAGTATTATTAAGGGAGTCCTTTCCCCAAAGTGCTGACAAGGCAGGAGAGGGGTGAGCAAAGAGATGCTACTAGTGAGCAGTAGCAGGTGCAGGCAGGATGTTAACCCCATACCAGGTATTGGCTGAGGGTGGTGAAGGGGATGTGAATGTATTGAAGGTGTGTGGTGAAGGAGGCAAAGGAAGGAGAGTATGATCAGACATTGGGAGAGAGGCACAGCAGCATGCAGGACACACTTGAGTCTGGCAGTGCTGCAGGCATGAGGGGAATGGAGCAAACAAGCTATCAGCAGAATCAAAACAGGTGTCCAGAGACCCAGCTGAAGAAAGCAGCATCTTATGGCAATGTGTGTCCAGGCAACCTCAAAAGGTGCTGACTCAGGGAACTACTTCCTGTCCCACCTCTCCAGGCAAGGAAGGAGGAAGTTTTTTGCCCAAAGCCCAGTGTTTCCAGGTCTGGCGGGAAAAAGTGAACCTAGCCAGGCCTCCTGATACCTGTTGCTGCTACTGTCCCTTGGCTTCTGTTTGGGGAAGGGGCATTTCTGCTCTTACAAGGGGGATTCTGATCCAGGAGCTTCTTCCTCATGAAGTACACATGGCTAGAAGATATGCTGGCTTAACAGAGATGCCCTGGTAGGGGGTATCGCTGTCCTCATCCACAGCCTGCTGCCCCAGGGGGTTTACCTAAAGAACAGCTCTGTTGTGGAACAGTTTGGGAGTACAGTGGGCATGAGGGGAGAGAAGGACATGGTGTGTTGCTCCATGTGAGCCAAAGGTCCTAGACAGGAGCTATGGAAGCTCCCGGAGGGTGAGTCTCACCTTGATAGGCTACTATTGGCATTGGTATCTCCATCAGGGGATGGGACTCATCTGCAGCTATCATGGCAGGGGCTTGCTGGTTGGGAGCTGAAGACAAGGCCATATGTGGATAGTGCAGAGTAATTGAAGTGGGAGCAGGGGGAGGGAAATGGCTTCAGTGTGACTTTCTTGTCAGCCAGACTGGCAGGCACCTGGACTCCATGTCTCTGGGCAATTGAGATAAAGCACCAAAAGCTCTCACTAGAGCACTTGAAACCCTGTCTATGAAGTTAGCACTGCAGAATGGAAATATCCTGAGGCAGACCTAAAGGCAAGATATGCTTGGGTCTTGTCATTGTCCAGCACTGCCCAGTGGACCAGGGCATCTACTTGGCAGCTGCGATGTCGGCTGGATTTGGCTGATGTTTTGCCCTCTGTTTCTATGCTAGGCCCAGATCACAGAGCTGGAGCGGGCACATGCCCAGCGCCTGATGGAGCTGACTTCACGGCATCGGCTGGATCTGAATCTGGAGGCAGAGAGGCTGCGCAGCACTCAGGTGCAGGCCGAACGGACACTGGAATCCCGAGAGAGAGCACATGTGCAGCGAGTCAAGGCCTTAGAGGAGCAGGTAGGAAGCTATAAGCCTAGCTGGGGGTTCTTTAAAAACAGTTGCACGAAAGCTCCCATGCCTTGGGGACAGTGGAGGCACCAGGCTAACAAGAGTTCATTTGCAAGCCTCCTTAGGCTGGGCTGGGAATGATAACACAGTATGAGGAGGAGTGTTGGGGGAGGTCTGTGGCTAGGCACATCAGTGGGAACATCTAACACCCATTGTTTAGCCCCAGGCTTTTACACCCACTGCCCTGCTATCAAGGGCTGGATGTGGTACAGGGCTAAACAGAATTGGACCCATGGTGCTTCTCCTTATAGAATATTATTGTATGTTACAATATTTCTCTTGGAGAGGTGTCCCTGTTCCTTGAGGTGTTTCCCATAAGGCAGAGCTATAACATCTCTGTGTGCTCCCATTGCACATATAGGCACTGTAACATAGTGGTTAGGGTACTGGATGGGACTCAAGAGACTTGGTTCCATTGCCAGCTCTGACATTGGTCTGCTAATGACCTTGGTATATCACTTTCCCTTCCCGCTTCAGTTTTCCCAGCAGTAAAACAAGAATAAAGATTCTTGAGTGTAAGGCCATTCACTTAGGGACGAATAAGAATCCATTCTAAAAGCTTGTGGCTCATCAGTTGGAAATGGCTGAGAAAGACCTGGATGTATTAATTGATCTCAGCATAAATATGAGACACTACTTTGATCTTAAGATGTAATAGACAAAGTATTATCTGTAGAGATAGGGAGGGATTAAATCCATTCTTTGAGGTGCTGGTGAATCCTCATATGAAATACTGCACACAGTTATGGTCATCTGTGTTCAAGGAGGAAGAATTCAAATGAGAACAGTTGCAGAGGGCTACTAAGATCAGAAAATGGAGATCCTATGATGTGAGAGGTGACCAAATAAGCTTGGCTTGTTCAGCCTAGCAAAACTTAAAGACTGAGAGGAAATATGTTTCCTGTCTGTAAATATATCAGGAGGTAAACATTGGGATGAGAAAAGAGCTATTTTAGCTAAGAGCAACATTGGCATAAATGGAATAAGCTCTCCAAGAATAATTGTAAGGTGGAAGCTAAAAGAAAGTTTCTGATCAGAGAAGTGAGGTCCAGGAACAGTCTTCCAACAGGCAAGCAACATATCTAGTTTTTAGATAGAGCCTGTTAAGTATTTGAACAGAACATTTGACATGGCTGCTTGTGTGAGTTGCCCTTCCAATCCCATGTTGCCACGAGTGACTATCTCAGGGCTCTCCATAGGGAAATGATACCATTTCACTCAGTAATGTTAAATGGCCCCGTGTTCCCCAGGTGAACTTGTTGAAAGAGCAGCTGGACCAAGAAGTGCGGAAGAGAATCCTACATCACTCAGGTGCTCCGGACAGGGAAATGATTTCAAAATAACCTTTTCGCCCTTGCCCCTACCTTGGTATGACAGCATGGAGAGCCAGCTTTCAACAGCAATGCTGCAGCCTGACAGACTGGACTCATATGCCTCCTCCTTCTCCAGGATACTCAACAGAGCCATAGTCAAAAATGCCATAATCCTGAGACACTGGTGCTGGGAGAATTTTTGAGGGGAACCCACATGGTGCTAGCGGATGGAGCAATCAGGACCACAGACATCAGAGAGCCAAAAGGAAGCTCTGGGGCAAGGACAGCTGTTCTCTCAGTGATAACTGAATCCCAGGGCACTGATGCAGCTTAACCAATTAATTTAGGCCATTTGGCAATGAGGGACTGCTTTGTTGTTAGAGTTACCAAGGAGTTTATCATCAAGGTGCTAAGGGATTTCTGTAGATATTTGTCCTAGACATACTAATGGCTGGTTCATGGGTCTCTGTGCTGTCTCACACCTGTTCTTTAAAAGGCTGTGCTTCCCAAACAGTTGGGGGGCCCTCTCTCAGGACTGGTTTGGAGTGTTCCTGTTTGGTCCTCAGCCAGTACTCTCTGAGATATTCTTCTTTCTTAATGGTGAAGAATCAACATGTCTTATCTCCATGGCATCTCTCTTTGTGTCATGCTCCAGATGGATTCATGCATCTCGAGGAACTGGCTTTTCAGTAAACATGGGGGCAGGGGCATATTTCCAGTAACATTAATCAAAAGCACACTGTGTGCTAGCACAGCATGCAGCCACGCCTGGGGATTGGTAGAGTCCTCCATTCCCTTTATGAACCACAAGCCTTTTTCACGGTGGCAGGTGGCTGGGATTAGCTCAAAGCCAAGTTGTCTTGTGACTCGCTGGCCCTGAGACGCGTGAAAGTGTACAATCAAGTGTTCCACCCACTCGCACAGCCGGCAGTCTCCAAGAAAATCCCGATAGGAATCAAACTGTGGTTTCCACAATGATAAAGGCAGCCATCTTGGAAATGCTTCAGACTTCACCTGTTAGCATTATTACACATTTTTCCCCATTAATGTTTGTTGGGGAAATAAGTAGTTATTTTTCCCACAATCCTTTGTTTATTTGAACAACATATTTCAAATGATAAGAAGAGAGGATGCGTGCGAAGGAAATCGATAATGGCATTTTCAATTGTTTACATTTACTTTTTTAACCATATTTGATATGTAAAAATCAGTTTGTTTCTTTTACATGTTACAGGGAAATCTTTTTGTCCTTCAACCTTCCTCCCCTCAAGGCTGCCTGGGTCCATGCAGCAAGGGCATACAGAGCTTGAATGTATTCTCAAACTGCTGTAGTTCCACTGAAGTTTTATGGCATTTCTCCTGCCTTACACCACTGCAAATCAGAACTGGTTCTAACCAAGACAGAGACTAGTGAGGACTCGATCCTGTCCACCTTCCGTTCCTGTGGGAGTCTACAGGAGCTGAGGGTGACTCTGCCTCTGGCAGGAGGTACATAGATTCTCACACAATTGAGCTCTAAGAAAAATGTGGCCAGAACTTCAGCTGGTGCAAATCGACACTGAATCATTGGCTTCACTGAAGCAACACTGATTTATGCTGAATAAGGATCTAGCCCACTGACTTCACTGGAGCTACCCCAATTAACACCAGCTGGAGATCTCGCCTGCTGGATCTGATTTTCTTTTCTCACTGTTGTTAATCACTCCAGTGAGGCCAATTCTGTGACCTGGCTTAAGTGATAGTCCAGCTCTTTTTTTCCATGCCCCATCCAATGTGCTGTTTACTCTTCACTGGCCTAACTCATGGGGCACCAGGAGAGATTGTGAGGCATTAAACACCATATATGTTGGGAAGGCAGGAATAACAAAGCTCATATTCCATCACTGGTCCATTTCAGAACTGGACCCTTTGGACTTGGACAACCATGTGGGCAAGGGTATTCTCTGAGAAGGCCAGAGAATACCCTCGCATTGAGGGCAATGTTGGGTCCCAGTAAGCAAAACTTTCCATGCTGGTATTCATATAATCCTGTTGCTGTAAATCCTAACTAAGTCCTGCTGTTGTTTTCTCCTCACTTTCAATCTTTACATAATATGTTCCTTGGCCTATTTTCAGTATTAAAAAAGTACCTTGCAATAATTACAGTGGAGAATATTTATGTTGCATTTGTATAGGATAAAATCATAAATTATTCTGAACCACATTTCTGATTTCTATATCTTCAAAATTTCACAAATCACTGGGCTTCTCAATTTTATTATGAATATTGAATACATCTTAGCAATGAATGATAATTATTATTGTTGTTTAAGTGCCACAGTGTGCCCAAGGCTTATTCAAAAAGATCTGAATAAATTTGGGTATTTTCTTAACCACATTCAGAAAGGACTGCATTTCCCACTGTCCCACTCCACCGCATCCTCTGATTGCTAGGGAGAGTTATTTAGTGGAACAGATCTTTGCTGATGTAATTGAAACTGCTGGGGATATGGCCTTGTGTGCTTAATGGTAATGGGTAAACAGGAAAGACTGAATCAGCAGAAGAGGGAAAAGTGGCTAGTGCTATTAAAATTCAGTGGAAATACAGGAAGATCAAAGTCATGGTTTAGTGATAGACTGTGCAAGAGAAGGTGATTAGCAAAATAGGGTAAAGGGAAGGCAATTGGTATGTAAAGGCAGCGAGATAAGAACCAGTTAGGTGTGAGCAGGACAGAAGAACTGGGACTGAGACAGGCTTCATTTGCCGTCTTGAGAAGATGCCTCACTCCTCATGCTCACAACTGAGTCAAAGGAGAGTTTCAGACAACAGCCATTTCTTTATATTTGTAAATATAGTGTGATTGTACACAAGACAACATTAACATGTACACATGATGAAAATGTAACTTTGTGTGGCTTAATGGCATTACAGTATACACATGCAAGACTTTTGGGGGTTTAAAATGATTTTGCATCATTTCAGAATAAACTGCATCTGAATGTAGTTTAGTTTGCAATGTTGCAGCTATCAGTTTGCCCCCCGGCCATGGGAGAGGTGGGAAAGCTCCACAAAGAAAAGGATTGGGCCCCTCACCACTTCTGCCTTCAGCAGACACCTGCTGAAGGCAGAAGCAGCAAGGGGCCTAATCCTTTTTTTTTTTCAGTGGAGCCTGCTCGCCTCTCCCATGGCGGGGTGGGGGCCAGCTGCTGGTGGCTAAGTGGCCCCCTGAGCTACGGGAGCCCCTGGTCCTTCCCTCTGCAATGGCAGCACCCCCCAGGGCTACCCAGGCAGACTGCTGGCAGGCCACGTGCTGCTCCAGCTCGGGGTCGAAGAGTTGGATCGGGCCGGGTGCTTCCTCCAAGCTGGGGCAGCACCTGGCCCGCTAGCAGCTTGCCCAGGCAGCCTCAGGGGGTGCCGCAGCTGCAGAAGGAAGGACTGGAGCCCCCCACCCCCCAGTAGCCCACCCAGACTTCCAGCACCCCATGCGGCATCTCCGCTGCCTTCTTCGGCCAGCAGCAAACCCAGCCACCCTCCTGCTGCCTTCCCATGCTGCCCCGGGACAAGCTAGCTCATTCCCAGTCAGCCCCAGGCATCCTGTGAGCCTCAGAACCCTGCTTTCAAGCAGAAGCAGTGAAGGGCTCATCCTTGCTGTTGCAGAGCCTCCCTGCTTCCCCCCACCCAAAGCCAGGGGGGTGAGCTTCTGGCGGGCCAAGTGGCCCTTGAGCTGCAGGGTGCCCCAGTCCTTCCCTCCACAGTGACAGCACCCCCTGGGGCCACCTGGGCAGGCTTCTATCAGGCTGGGTGCTGCCCCAGCTCAGAGGTAGCACCTGACTCAATCCAACTGTTCCCTGAGCCTGCCCGCTGGAAGCCTGCTGGGCGCTGCTCCCCAGGCAGGCATGGGGAGGAATTGGATTGAGCTGGGTGCTGCCTCCAAGCTGGGGCAGTACCCAGCCCACTAGCAGCCCACCCAGGTGGCCCCAGGGGGCACCACTGCTACGGAGGGAAGGACCGGGGCTTCCCACAGTTCAGGGGCCACTCAGCCCGCTGGCAGCTCACCCCCTAGCTGCAGGCAGGCTCTGGCTCTGACAAAAAAAAGGATCAGGCCCCTCACCGTAACATGACAGAAAGATTGAAACTGTCTAGTTCTCAGGGTTTTATTCTATCCCCCACCATTTCAATTTAGGGGGCATAGAATAAAACCTTGGGGATTAATGCCCGCCCCCCGTCCCCCGGTCATATGTACAAACGCCCATAGTTTTTAGCTATCTGATCACTTTAATCCCTCAGTGATGCAATGCTGAATTTATCCTCCTGGCCCTGTCTGTCCATCCAGTTACATTGTCCATAATGTATAGTGTTTAGGTTTCTTCTCTGCTGGAATTTTTTATCACTTGTAAAAAAGGGGTTGTACCAAGAGGGGTACAAGATAAAGGTCATTCTTAGCTTACATTGATTATCAGGTGTTCACCTTCTCTCTTACAGCACCAAAGAAGAAATGGGACGACAGTCTCAATAGTGACTTCCTCTTTCTCACTCCCTCCCCTCCATCTACTAGCTCTACCTGTCCTGAGAGAACAGGCACAGGGAAGTAATCCCCAAGCCAACCTGACACTGAACAGTAGTTAAACCAAAGTCACCTCTGACATCTGCAGATTGTAACATCTGCCTAGTGCCAGGCACTAGCTCCACCAGGAAATGGTTCTTCAATGGAGAAGCAAATATGTGATTTTAATGGGAAGCAGAGAAACCCATACAAGTGATAAGGCCCTCTCTAATGGCCCCATATCAGAGGACTGATAACAGAACCCATCATGTCAGATTTCCTCATGTGACTACAGTGAGCTACCCCTGAGCTTCAGAATAGCAGCAATCTCACTTTTTCAGCCATGCTATATTACTGCCTTCAATTGTCCTGAGAGATGTTAGATTATAAACTAAATCTTCTATCAATACCATCTCTATAACAAAGCACTGAAGCCAAGACACAGCAAAGTGCTTACTTTAAACATGCTTAAGTCTCACTGAAGTCAAGTGCTCAGTGCCACACTGGCCAAACTCCATGCAGGTGAGAAGTCCAGTTGAAGGCAATAAGGCTACTTGCATGTTTAAGCAGGAGGCAGGGCAGGGTGGTACCTTAAAACTCATTCAGAGGCACGAACTTTCGTAGGCAGTAGCCTATAGTGTCAGATGCTATGAATGGGCTGTAGCCTACAAAAACTCAAGTCTCTGAACAAGTTCAGAACCCTGCCCTGCTTTCTGCCAAACTTCAGGCTAGCACTGCTAGCTATCTCTCTCTTTGCATGCTTAAACTTAGACATATGGGGTGCCTATACACATACGAATAGGGGCCTCTTGGAAGCCACTCTAATTAAAATGCTGCTGTGTCTCATGTATTCAGCATCCTGCATTC